CATTTAAACACCTTTTCATATGGGACAGCAGGAGAAGAACACCTGTAGTCCAGTCCAAGAGAGCTCTGTGATCTTGAGCAAGTAGCCGTGATGAGTCTGGACCTCATTGTAGAAATGAGGAACTGGACTCAGTGGTCCTTCTGATGCTATAATGCGTTGTCTTTGGTTGATGAGCTGATTGCCTATGAAATTCAGTGACTTTCTGATATTGAGCTTTGTTTTCCACATTAATGGACTATAGATACCCTATTACTGTTATTAATTATTAATTAAATATGTGTCCAATTATTCCTTCTACTGAGTCCCAGGAATTATGCAGTCTTTACCTTCCTTGGACTTGCTTAGTGCACTTGCCATACTGTCCTCACGGTTCATCCGTCTTGTCACATACGGCAGAATTTCCTTCCATTTTTAAAGACAGGATAGTATTCCATTCCTACATTATCTTTGTCCATTCATCTGTCTGTGGACATTCAGGCCCTTCCTTGGCTGTTGGGGATAGGCCTGCAGTAAACATGGGGTGCTAATATCTCTTTAAAATCATGATTTTGAATCTTTCTTCTAAGTACTCAGAAGTAGCATCACTGAATCATTTGATAGTTCTGTTTTTAATTTTTTGAGAAATTGCCGCACTAGCAATGTAGGAGGGTTCTGTTTCTTCCTCCCCAACGAATGTTGTGCTTCGTTTTTCTTTTTGATAAGAGTCGTCCTGAGTGATATATCTCATTGTGGTTTGACTTGCATTTCATATACCTGTTGGCATTCATGAGTCTTCTTTGGAGAAATATCTATTTAAGTCCTTAGCCCATCTTTAAATCAGGTTATTAGTTTTTTTGCTATTGATTTGTAAGAGCTCCTTATATATTTTGGAGTAACTATTTTTTAATTTTTTAAGGCTTATATTTGATATAGTGTCCTCCCAGTTTTAAAAAAAGTCACTTAAAATGAAAGCTTAAGAATGTTTAAAGAAATAGGACATAGATAACATAGTGTGAGTCAGTATTTTTAAAAAGCAACAGTTTGGGGGAGAGTAGAAAGAGAAAAAGACAACTTGTCCCTGTAAAAGTGTGTCCCGTCATGGAGGCTACTCAGAGCTGACAGTGGTGTCAGGGCTCTAGTGAAAAGCCAGCAGGACCTGAGCTAAACGAGACTGTGTGTCTGAGCTCAACAAGCAGACTCTGAGACTGGGTGCCACTGACTTGACTGATGTTCAAGTCAGGCAAGTACAAATAGGGACGACTGATGCTTTGATTTTCCTAATTAGCTCCAATGATTCATGGTACATTGATGGCGGAGGTCCCTGCCCCCTCACTATCCATTCGGGCCGGAGCCAGCTTCCTGAGGGACTGTCTGACCATGCAGACGCACATGCAGCCCAGGGAAATCTGACCTTGAGGTGCTGCTAATACCAGATTTCACTTCATTGAATCCTTGCCTCGTCGAAGCTCCACACAGGGAACTTCTGCTCAGGTCAAAATGTTTACATTCTGGGTTTCCAAAGCACAGGTGGGAAATATTAGTGCTGTTTTGTTAACAATGTCCAGTTAATGACTAACTTAACTGACAGTTATCTGTGACTTGACTGAACACAACTAGAATCTGAGAAACACGTAGTCGCCTCCATTTGCTCATATCCTCTCTAACACACAGAACGCACTAAACTGAAGAAAGGGACAGAACCTGGACTCTGGGCCTTCCGTGCATTCCTACTGCCTTCTCAGAGCAGCGCTTCCTCCTGCCAGGCTCTCAGACTCCAGCTCCGGCTCAGAGGAGCACGAGCCCCAAGCTAACAGGCAGCCGTCCTCTGGGAGTTCATGCTGTGGTCCCTTGCTGGGAATGGGAAGGGCCAGGCCTTCACATTTTCCAGCTTGTTATCTATTTAACTTCCCATCTGCCTCGTTGCCACTGCCTTCCAGAGGACATCTGCGCATCCGAGAGAAGGAAGACTGGACCCAGGCCAGCGGGGCCCACAATCTAGAAGAAGGGAAGGGAAGGGAAGAGGGCTCGCTGGTGGCCCAGAGAATGAGGCGAGGGCAAACCGCCTGCTAAGAATGAAGATGCTTCTCCCTTCATTGCAGAGACTGGGAGCAGCCACCTCTGCCCGCAAGGGCTGGAGGCAAGGGAGGCAGCTGGGCCTGGGGAGTGAAGGCAGAGCATCCAGGGCTCAGACCCTCTGCTGTGTCCAAGTCTCCAGGGGTCCCCATTTCTCATTGCCCTTTAGGCATTTGTGGGGCAGCTGCCCTGAGATGGGCTCTGTTCTGGGCATCTGAAGGTAGGGATAGACGATAAAGACATATCCCTGCCTTTAAGGAGCTGGCCCAGGGTTGGGGAGAGAGACAAGTTGACACAGGTGACCACATGAAATGATAAATTCTGTATCCCAGATAGGGAAGCGATGTTGCAGAAACAAAAAGAGGAAGGGAACATGCCGATCCCGTGAGCGAAAGTGGATGAAGGAGGAAAGGCCACACACAGATGATGCCTGAGTGGACCCTGGAAGGATCCTCAGAGATACGAGGAAACAAGATCTTTCCCTTGTCATCAATAATGGTGAATCTATGTAACTGACTCAGAATCCATCACCCGAAGCCTCAAACCCACCCACCACCCCTCTTGGGGTCAAGGCAGCAACATTTCTGCTAAATGCACTGGCCGGTCATGCCATCTCTCAGTGTCACCTGCAGAGTCACCAGTGAGGGTTGCAGACTCTCAGAGTGGGAAGACATCTTAGCCTGGTAACACTTCCTTGGTTTGCTGTGATGGATGGTGTGTCTGATTTTAACTGTCCCTAGGTATCTGCTCTCATATTACCAGGGTCTTCATCAGTAGGATGACAATAGCAAACAGGAAACTCCCAGAGTATATTGACCAACAACCAGTGCTTGGTGAGCATCCACTTGTGCACCATGAGGCCCAGCAGCCAAAGGCAGAACCATTGTGTCTGAGAAGCTAAAATCCAATTGCAGTGGCTGGAGTGTTTCATTTGGATAAGTGAGAAAGAAATCTCATTTCCATAGTTCTGACATGACAAATATGCAACATTTAAATGGGGAAACCACGGGCCATGTGATGCTTGGGAGATGTCACCTCCTTAGAAATAGGCCTGAAGCTTCCACCCTTGGCTTCGGTCTGTCACAAGATGCAAATGTAATTGGCATCACTTCTGACCACAGTTATGTCTTCTTGTCATTTTAATACATTTCATCTAAAAACTTGCTTTGGGAAATGGAAATGACTGTGGGGATGAATCAAGCACACATTTTTCTATCATATTGTCATCTGAAAGGAAAGCTTTACTCAGTTTTAAAGGACACATTAAGAAATAATTTTTGAGCCTGGCTGGGCGTAGCTCAGCTGTTAAGCGTTGACCTAGGATCCAGGCGATCAAGGTTTGATTCTGGGTCAAGGCACATACCCGGGTTGCGGGCTCAATCCCCAGTCGGGGGCGTGCAGGAGGCAGCCAATCAGTGACTCTCTCATCATTGATGTTTCTATCTGTCTCTCCCTTCCTCTCTCTGGAATCAATAAAGATATGTTTGAAAAAAAAAAGAAATAATTTTTGAAATCTTTATTGCCACTAAATAACAAGGTATTTGCTCAAACAAAGTGTGTTGTATTTTTTTTTTTTAGCTTGAATTAACTCACTAAAATATCTTATGTCATTTTGAGCATGTAATGTTTTGTTTTATGGTTAGTTTCTCAGGTAGAATGTAAAGGTATTAAAATATTTTATGTTTAAGTAAGATCATTAAATAAGGTCAATTAGAAAATTTTCTGTGTTGTTCACCTGCAAAAATTAATGGACTTAAGAGACACTGATGATTGAAACCTTTTGTGATTTCAAATTAGGAAAGAAACTGGGTTTTCTATGACATCAGGCTGTTCTGCTAACAGAAGAAACAAATTCCAAAGTAATTTCTGTTAGGAGGTCCCGAATCCAACATTTCCTGACTTAAGAGTTGATAGAAGCACAGAAAAGTTCAAGCAGAATGTGCCAGAGTTGCTTAGTCTGATCTGTAAGTGAGAAAGCTGAGGTCTGGGAAGATTAAGTCTTGTCTGGGTTTACAGCGGTCCCCAAGGCTCCCTAGCACACTGTGTCTCCTGATTACCTTGTCACCATCATTCCTTCCAGTTTTGTATTTTCAACCATGAAAAAAAGTCTTTTTGTTTAGGGATGAAGCCAAATAAGCCCTTTCCTTGGCTTATATGTGCTGTTCCCACCCGAGACTCTCAGGTCCTGACCTGAAGGAGGGTGTGGCACCGTTTTGTTCCAGGCCACCTGGTTTTCTTTTTTCTCAGTTCTCCCTGAGACTCTAGAGGACAAGAGCCATGGTAGCACCATCCAGAACCCACCTGTCCACCTGGAGGGAGCTGGGCAGGTGTGAAGATCGTGTGGGCCTGGGCTGTTGGGATGACGCTGCTTTTGTGGTGAGCGGTTGTGCTGGAAGTTAGGTGCCAATGAGCTGCAGGTGAGGTTCCTAAGGGAAGCACATAAGCAGATTCAGAAAACTGGTTAAACATCACAAGCCTAATACTTTCTGAATTTTCAGATAATTGTGCATAATTTCCTGTGGCTTTAGTATACTACAGAGCATACATAATAAACATATCAAGAGGGGAGTAAGCTAGCTGCTGAAACATGGAACATTTCTAGAGAAAATACACATCGGCCATTACAGAAATGACACAGAACAAACCCGAGTTAGTCACATTGCAGCTGTTTTTCCAGATAACCTTTTTTTTCCCTTTTACAGATTTGTGTTCCATAATTCTCTGGGTTTTGCCCTTTTTCCTGATACTGAGGCAGGAGCATTGGGAGACGAGCACCTTTGTTCAGTGTCTGGTGGGTGGGTGGTCCCAGCCTTGGGCTCCCACACCCAGTGTCCCCTCTTCGCCTCTCCTTCCCCAGGGCTATGCTGAGCTTAACAGGTACTTGGGGAAATCATCCCTCCTAATTTTTCCTGCCGTACTTCTAATTGCATGTGCTTTGTCATCCTCAGGACTACCAAGAGGCCTCCAATTTGGAACAGTTTGTAACTCGGTTTTTATTGAAGGAGACTTTGAATCAGCTCCAGTCTCTACAGAATTCCCTGGAATGTGCCATGGAAACCACTGAGGAGCAAACCCGACAGGAAAGGCAGGTTGAATGTGTTCATGTTCTATGTCTGTAGTCGCTCCAAGTTGATGGATGACCAGCGAAGGGCATCGTACTAAACTAGTGAAAACTGAAAGTGAGGATTAATAGAGTCCAGCAGAACAGCAGGGACCACCACTGGGTACTTGCTTTGTATTTGCCTCTAAAAAAGACCATTCTGCTTTTTCTCTTACTGTCCATCATTTATCCAACAAATTTTGAGAACTTAGTAGATGGGAAGACTTTAAAAGACACCGTGGTAACACAGAGATGCACTTTGCATCGTCCCAATCCTTTGGAGGCTAAAGTCTAGTGCATAAATAAGACACTGTAACGCAGCGTGACACCCCAGAGAAGGGTGAGTGAATTGCCAAGGGATTTCAGAAGGTAAAAGATTAAATGTGGACAGTGGGTGAGAGAGTTTCATGGAGTTTCCCAATGACATCTGAGCTCAGCTGGCTCATCCCAGGACATCCCTGTGATGCTGGGAGGTCTTTTCCTTGAGGCAGGAGCTGAACCCTCACCCTGCAGTTAAACTTTGTCTCTGTTGTTCAAGGCAAGGGCCCACCAAGCCTGAGGTCCTGTCCATTCAGTGGCCTGGGAAGCGGTCCAGCCGCCGGATCCAGAGACACAGCAGCTTCTCTCCCGGCAGTTTCTCTCCCGGCAGCCCTCAGTTTACCCTCAGCGGACCAGGTAACGTGGCTTCACCCATTTGTGTTTCACACTGATTTATTAAAAACAACACAAAAAAACGGCAGCTGAAATACAGTAGCAATGAATGTTTTCCTTATATCTGGTGAGCTGTCTGAACCCATGGGGCAGAGTCTCACGTGTTAATAACTGGTGAAGATCCCGCCATCAGCTATCAGAACCCGGCGTGGTGCCCGGGAGGGCACAGAGCTGGTGCACCGGGGCAAAGGTGGCTTTGTCACCCAACACTCACAATGCGGGAGATGCACTCCGCCCACTGTGGCACTGCCGCCGGGGCGAGGCTGGAAATGTACATTCTGTAACGGGAAGAAAGTGAAGATCGGGAACAGTGTGCGGCTAGAAAATGACACTAGATTGTTCTTTCAACTCTAGCCATTTAGAAAATATTGTTAAGCCCAAAATATCCTCTGAAAGATTTGCTGTGACAGCCATCTTAAATTCTAATGAACAATTCAGCATGGAAATGTGTTAACTAATTTGTGAATTAGAATATAAACTGTGTTTATACGTTTATAATATCCTCTGTTATAAGCCCCCTGAATCTGATTTTTGTAGCCACGTTGTAACAATTCTGCTCAGTTTTGTGCCATCAGTTACTGGTGGGCTCTGGGAGGTGCCTTACCCAGGAAGGCGGATGGAGAGGAGAGTGTTGACGGGAAGACCTCTTTATAATTCAGGTCTTGTCTTCCTAAAGATCAAGGCTAGAACAAGGCTTTCCAGTCATTAAGGCCCATCCTCCTACTGGGAAACATCAAGTAACATGACTTCAGTGAGTGCCTATGGCTGCCAGGATGTCTGCACAAGGCTCAGACCCTCACCCTTTCCTTTGCCCAATAATCTGAATAACAGCAGTATAATAACAGCAGAACCTGCATAGTGTTTAACCTGGTACAGATGTGTGTGCACGTACATGCACACACCATGTACAGATGTCTGTGTGCACGTACATGCATATGCCATGTACAGATGTGTGTGCACATATATACGTACACAACATACAGATGTGCATGCACATGTGTGACACATATATAACCTAATCCTCACTGTGACTGAGGCTGGTGACAGTCTTGTTCCTATCTTAGAAATAAGAGAACTGAGGCCAGAGGTGTCAAGTCATTGGACCAAATGAGCAAGCTCCAGGGTCCACAAGCTTTGCCACTGTCCTGACGGTGGTTTCCAGGGTTACTGAGGTTCAACCCCAGCAAAGGGGACACCAGCTGCCTTACCTTTATTCTTTGTCCAGAACCATCTTTGCCTTCCTGTGACCAGGGCTGTGACCTCCCTGCCTCCTGCCTCTGCCCTAGCCATGAGTTTACAGTTACTGATATGCACCTCCCTTTTTTTTCAAAAGAAAAATCAGTCACCTCACAGGGAGGTGAAGATGCTTCCATGGGATCTGCTCTTTGACTCTCAAGGTCAGCACAGGCAATGACATATACAGAGGAGTGAGCCCCGGGATACGCAGGCCCCTGGAAGCCAGTAATTTAGCCAGTGGCACTGCATTCCTCCTTCAGGGCAGAAGGCTCGCAGCTTTCCTGCTCTCTAGGGTAACACTGTCCTCCTGACTTTCCCTCAGGCTCACTAGAAGAAGACAACCGGTGGATGACCCAGATAAACAGGCTCCAGAACCTGATTGACAGGCTGGAAAAGAAGGTGGGTGCTTCCCTCTCTTAGTTTCTTCTCACCTTTCATTAGATCCTGACAGCTCAACGGGGCATTTGGGGTGGGGGAGGGAGGGCAGGCTACATAGGCCAGCCAGTGAGACTCTTCTGTTTAGGGAAGTAGCAACAAATAAGATTATACATGGATGGGGCCACGTTACAGCTGGCCTCCAGAGTAGACTACCAGACTGGACTTGGTCTTGGAGACAACAGGAGGCATTTATTATTTTCCAACAGCTAAGTGACATAAACTAAGTGACATAATCAAAAAAATCCTTTAGGTAGAAAACTGGATGGCAAGGGTGCAAAATGGATTCAAACGAGAAAATTCAAAGTCTGAGCTACCACAGCCAGTTGGAACAGTGGCATTAAGAGCAGGTTGCAGACCTGAGCCCAGCAAGAGATGGGCCTGGAATTAGTGACTGGAAATCAAATGGCAATGGGACCACTGATGGTTGTGGTGGGTACAGGTGTCTGAGAACTTCAGCCTGAGTGTCTGAGACAATTACCCTGAGCAGAACAGGGAGAGGCCAAAGAGGTACTGTGTGATGGACCATGAGGAGGTGAACTGGCTTATTAGACGTGCTCATTTCAAGGACACTTGGGCAGAAATACTCAGACATTGATAGGTGAGAAGTTGAGTCATCTCCCCCAAAGATGACACCTCCAGTCCCGAGGACTGGGAGGTCTCTGACCAAGTCCAGGGGATGCGACCTTGGAGAGCGGCAGCCCCTTGGCCTCCACTCCATCATCTGTCACTTTACAGTGAGCACTTTCTGGGCAGATAACCTAAACTGAGAGCTTGCTCCAAATCAACTTTTCTACTTCCTGATTTCACTAACTGATATATGAGCTGAGACTAAGAAGATTCATGGCAAAGAGTGGTTATGAGAATTAATTTTCCAATGGTGGGAGGTCTGAAAATCCATGACCCCTGCTGGGAAACCAAACCTTACTAAAACATCAGGATCCAATCATGAAATAACTTTGGATTCACTTAAAGAACACAAGTACCTCTTTTTAAAATAGTTTTTGGCAGATCTGTCTTTATTTGATGTCTTAAATGTATGTAGTTATTTTTGAAAGAATAGCCCAGACTCAGATCATAGCTATTTCTCCAACTTTAAATCAAAGTCTTCTCACATCTTTGTTTTCTAGACTTTTTTCTCCCTTCTGTGAAAGGGTTTCACTGTGAGGCCAGGGTCTGAGGTTTGCCGGATGTGCAGTGTGACAGTCCAGAGCGGGTTCCAGCTGTGTGGGGCTCAGCGTGACCTGTCCTAACGAAAGGAGAGGCTCAGCTTTCTTCTACAACTTCTGCACTGTGCTGATTAGGGTTTTAGAGGAAAACTACCCAATTGCCAAACAGTAGCCAAGTGCATGTCCTTTCCCTGCTGACTCTCTCATCCCTGGCCGTTGCCAGCACCAGGTTTTCTCTCCCCACAAAAGCAGATGTACTGACCGGGAAACCCATTACCTTTTCTGTCTGCTAAGTGTCTATGATAGCTCATTCTGCCCGTAAACCAAGCCCAATACCCTTCATGGGAGGAGGGACTTGAAATTTCTACAGTTTCCTCAGGCACTCCTTCCTCCCATTCAGCCTCTGTGAACATTGTGGAGACATGTTGAGACCACCTCCCATGTTCTGCTTGAACTCTGCAGAAAACACATTTAATGTTCAACAGAACAACAGCAAAACCTCTTCACTGTTCCTGAGGTCCCAAGTGTCCCAGCAGATCCTAGGACTCCCCCTGGAGTGTAGTTTAAAGGGTGTAGTTAAGGCTGTAACAGGCATACAGCTTGTTTTCAGTTTTTCTTACCTACAATTCAAGAAGGTAGAACTGAAAAGTGTCCCTGAGTTGGTGTTGAGGAAGGAGGTCACTGCTGTTGCAGTTACTATCTCAGGGGCCTTTTTAAAAGTGGTTTCACATCTGTACTCATTACATAAGTTTGCCTTCATAGAAAAGCTGTGGTTTAGAGTAGACATTCGCTCATCCATTCATTTATTCGACTAACACTTTGAGTGTCTACTCTATGCTCGGTCTCTGGAGAGACAGACAAAAACCCAAGTAAATAAACCCATGAAGCAGGAAATTTCAGAGTGAAATGTGCTGTGAGGCGCAGCAGAGATGGGGGTTGGATACTGAAAGAGCGTGATTTGGGGAGGTGGCTCCAAGAAGGTGAAATCTGAGGTTGAAAGATGAGAAGGAGCCAGCGCTCCTCTTTGCTTAAGGAATCGTCTCTCCTTTGTTCTTTCAATGGCATCAGTAAAGTAAACTTCAGTAACAACCCACTGCCTACGTCTGAGGTGGCTCCTAACTGGGTGAAAGAGTCTTTCTTGGAGCAGCTCAGTTTTAAAAAATCGGAATTTTATTCCTTTCAGGTAATGTTGTTCTTTGGGTTCAATATTAGCCATAAAAAAAGTTGCCATTCAAATATATGGAGTTTCTTTTCATTAACTAATTTCTCCCCCACCCCGTCTCTTCCTCTAATTGAAGGAGCTCAAACTTGAACCCCTGGAGGAGGAAGTTGTTGACGGCAGCAGTAAGTCTGTAAGTACTTTCCTAGGTCAGATCTTAGAAATATGTACTTTGGACATATGATTCAACTTATTAAAATTAGTTATTGTTAATGGAAATTTTAAAAAGTATAATCCATGGGCATATTTTCATTTTTTATGCCTAGGAAGTACTTTCTAAGTTGTGATTTGTGATTAATCTCTGCTTCATGGGTTTTTGTGAAAGCACCTGGCATGTAACATATGGGCAGAATAAAAGTCTTGTGGAGTGTAAATCAGTGAGTCTTTGAGCTGGGATAGCTGTGACTGGCAGAAAAAGTCAGCGTTCGGATAGCATTTCAAACACATTCAGGAACCTGGGCCGAGATGGGTCCCATTCAGCATGTTTCCAGCCTGTAGACAGGGCCAGGCACAGCCTAGATGCTCAGAAATCATGTTTTGAAGGAGAAACTGCTGTTTTGAGACAGAGGAGCATTTCTGCACATCCAGAATATGTGGAGACTGAAGAAAAATGGACAAAATGATGCTAATGGACACAGTACCTGCCACAGAAGGAATTAGGGACTAAAGTAACTAACTGAGAAGCAATGCACACAATGCTTTATTTTACTTTCTTTTCAGGCAAATATTTATAGCGCATTCTGTGTTGGGAAATTGGATGTTTTCATTTACATTTAGCAGAAATTTGGATTTTAAAATCTTGGGTGCCTACAGAAAACCACTTGGTTTAATACCTTAAATGTATAAATCTGGTAGGTTAGTCACATTTACATGAAACAAATATAGGAAACACCTTTCATCTCTGCACTTACTCTGCAGTCACTGCCTACCTGATAGGAGGTGAGACTCACCTGTGTCAGGTCCTGTCCATCTGTTCAAACTCATAACACAAAGGAGCCTTCAGAGAGGAAGCTTTGGGGTTTCTCAGTGAAGTGTAACTGTGGCTATTACTAGGATCTGATAGACAGGGACACGCCCCCCAGGTATAAGCTATTTTTACTATATGTTCAGCGCTGCTATTCCTCCAAGTCAGGGATGTGGTCTGTGGTCACTCATCAGGCACCCAGAACTTTAGAGTGGCAGGTTTGGGAGGGAAGTGAGTAGAGAAGGTGCTGAGCACAGACTACCCCGGGGCAGCAGGCCTGTGTGGGACCTGCGTTCCTCACACACCAACTCCAGCGGGGGCCGGGGTGCGGGGGAAACTCAGCACTGAGCAGAGCTGCTCTTCACGAGGAGCTGCAAGCTGGCCGATGACTCAGGAGATTTCCCACCTCCGGAGCAGAGCAGAGCAGAGCAGATTATCTGGTAGGTTTATGTAATCACACAGCGAACGTCCTGAACCCCAGCAGTTGCCTTGCCTAGTTTTCTGGGACACGAGTCCTTACGTAATGATGAGCGTAAGGTATGATTTCTTTTTAAATTCATCTATTTTTTCTCAGCCCGGGGTAAGAAATGTTTGTTGAGTATATGTCACAGGCAAAATCTTTACATACACATTGAGTTCTCCTAATTTCTGTGATAGAAATAACTCTGTTCCAATTTTATGTATCAGAAGACATAAGACGACAAAGGTTTAGTAACTTGTTCAGGACCACATAGCTAGTCAAAGAGAAGCCAACTCTTCAATTAATGGCCCTGCTCTGGAAGGAGTGAGGACAGGAGAGAGGCAAGGTGATGGACAGATGAACAGCGCCTGCAGTGACGATGGTTCAGGTTCCCCAGAACCCTCCAATCCTCATCTGGAGGACTGTGCATAAATAAGATTTATTAAAGGAATTTCCAGTATAGTCAATGGCCAAAAGCAAAAGCATCTTTACTTGTTTGTTCTACAAATAACTTGGTCACTGATGACATGCCAGGCCCTGAGGGCGGATTGGAACGTGAAGTGGTGAATATTAAGGCCAGAAGACAGACCGGAAGGAAAACAAGGCAACTAAGGATCTGCAGTAAGTGAGATGAGGATTGTTACAGGAACTATACCTGTGCACAGCGGGGAACACCGCCTCCTGCAGGAGGTCAGGAAATGCTTCCAGACACAGAGCATGAAAGGTGCAATAAAGACGAACAAGTGGGGTCTTTACAAACAAAATCTCTGTGCCTCTCACAACACTGGGTCCTTCCAACCTTGCTCTGAACATGAAGGTGCCACATGGGGACATGGAAACGTTCCCAGTGATTGGTGACAAGCAATCTGAGGAATTCAGCCTCATTCTCTGTAATAAAATGGGAGATAAACATGCATCCGGGATAAACCCAGATCCAAATCTAAGACCAAGACTTCATGACTCGTTGAAAATTTGAAGATGATTTAGAGTCTTCTGGCTGTAGAGGCAAATCACTGGAAAGTCAGCATGATTTTTTAAGGACCTTGCTCCAGCCAGATCACGCATCTGGGTCTGGCCAAGTTTTCCGCCCCACCCGAACCCTCTGCCTGGTACCCTTGTGAGTCTCTGGGGCCCTTCTCAAGTGACTATTGCAAAACGATGTTCATGCTCCAGGTACCTTCTGCATTCAAAAGGAGTTTTTACAAAGTCAGCATAATTTTAAACAAGGTTTGATAACATTCGGGTGCTTTTCAAAAACTCTTAACTTTTCTTGACCACATTATTGCTAGATACACTAGACTAGCTTATAATAGTTTACAAATTTAATCTTTTTCTGCCTCTCTTTCCTTATCAAACCTGTAGACAATGTTGGTGAAATCTACCAATCCTGCTGTACAATCTTATGTGTTTTGGGGACTGGGAAAGTCATATTGCAAGCTGACTAAAGCTAAAGTCATTAGTGACCTTAAGAGACAGTTATAGGCTTGATCTTCTGACACTTGATCCCTGATCCTGAGGGAAATTCAAACAAAGCCAGTTAAAATTGCTGAACTCATTAAGGTGGCCTCTATGGAAACAAATACACCAAATGTAGAATGATTCCAATATCAAAAAAGTCCCTTTCCCAGTAATCTGTCCACAGGTGACTCAGGACTCAGGCCCCTTCACCTGTGGCTCTGCCATGCAGGAGGCAGGTCTTCATCCAACAAAAGGAAGGCAACCATCACATCCTTTGTGACAGTCTTGCCTCAAAGCGCTAACAGCACCTCCTCTAATATTCTGTTGCTGAGAACTCACCCCTGGGCTACGGCTTACTGCAAGGGATGCTGGTCAAGCTGGTGCCTGGAAATGGATGGAGATGTTTCTACTTTCACGATTTACTCCCATCCCTGGGTCAGGAAAGGACTCATCTTGAGATCAAAGTGCCAGGAGAAGGCCACAGACAGATAAGACGGAAAGTCTTCCCAGGAGGTGCTTCCATGGTGACCAGACTTGTCACAAGCAGCAGCAGCCACCGGTGTGAGTGTGAAAAACAAGCTGTCTGAGGCCGAGGTTTGCGCAGGCTGTTGTAGGAAGTTAATGTGTTTATATGACCTGTGACGGCCAGCATGCTTTTGGAAATGCATCAGTGAGCACGTGACTTTTTGAAAGTTGTTTGTTTGTAATGATACTCACAATGTGTCAGATATCACAGCCGTCCAGGAAGGAGATGGGCTATGCACGATCCTGTCTCTATGACCCCAGCAGCACTCAGGCCCAGCTCCCCGAGATTCTGATATAAATGCAAAACCTCTCAGTGATTTTGAGGGAGAACCACTGCTTTTAAAAGGGGTGTGTGTCATCGAGAAAGACACTTTCTTTAGCGTCTGTTACTAGAGGCAAGAAAAACACCCTGCCTGTGTCACAGCTTCATGAGGTGTTGTTACTAGGATCAGTCAGGGTCACAGTTTTGGAGGATGGTTGTTTGATGGTGAGGAGGGATGGGTGGGCCGCAGGGTCACACAGTGATGTCCTGTCCCTGCAGCAGGTCCTGCTGGTGCAGCGGCAGCTGACCGTGAACACAGAGGACTCGGCAGGGTTCCAGGTGGCCCTGAAGCTCTACGTGGAGAGTGCAGCTGCTCAGAGTGGGTGTTTGCGGTAAGTGGGAATGCTGTTGAGAACCCACCTGTGTTCCCCGTGTTCGGGTGACATTCCAGCCCTGGGGATGGGTTTGCAGACTCTAACTGGTTGTTTTCTGATTCATCCTTGGACTCTGTGTGGATTTGACTGTATAGCCCCTAGAGAAATAAAACTGAGAGAACAGTTTAAGACGAGTTTCAAATAGGTTGAACCTCCTTCCCCTTGGAATCTAGGCAGCCATAAGCTGGTTTAAAGTCATCTCCAGTGGATGAGTCCCAAGCCCTGGGCATCTGGGTCTGAGGGCTCCCCTGGCAGCCAGCCCTATGCCCAACAGCCATCTAAGCCACTGGGAAGGGCACAGTCTCCCAGGTCTTGATTGCAGGGCTTGGCCATTTAAAGGAAAGAAAGCTCTTTCAACTGCTCAGATCATGTTTGCAGCTCAGACTTAAAAAATGTCCTCTTCAGTGTCTTCATTCCAAGTGGTCCAACAAGCAGCTACTAGAATAATTTTCCAGAAATAATCACAGAATTCCTTTCATCAGGAACCTGCAGTAACTCTAATGAATATCTTATCAAAGGCTGGATGTATACCCTGGCCCCGGGTTTTTCCCATCAGCAGACACAGGAATCCACAGAGCTGCCCGCCCTCAGCAGGGCCCACTGCCCATCTCACGGCCCACCTCACCGCCCCCCGCCTCTCTGGCAATGGCCCCTTAGACCTGGCCACTCCGCTTCCCAGAAATGCCTGCCCAGCCGTAGGCCCTGCCGTGGTTCTCCGGATTCTGGAAAGCTGCCACAACCGAGTCACTCCACCCTTGGGAGCTTCCTTGCGCTGCATTTCATAACGCTCTTGGAACATTCTTCGGGGAAGCTTTTCTTAGCACACTCTGGAAACACATGCTCAGCGTTCCCGCCGATAATGAGCTCCCTGCTCTTGCTCCCCAGCAGAGAACTCCCCACTCGGAAGGCTGGCTCTGGAATTAAACACTGATTGTCCACACTTTGTGGTTTTGGGAAAGATCCTTACTGATTTGAAGCCTCAGTTTCCTCATCAAAAGCCTCGTTAAACGGTTGTGAGGTGTAACTGAGTCATCCTCGGAGGCCCACAGGTAGTAAGCTGGGTCCTCGCTGCGTCGGCTGCTGTCCTTGTCCTGCTGTCTGACCTCCAGAGCAGACTGCTCGGTGTGTCTTCCCAGCTGTGCGTTTGTAACCGGAACACAGGATGCTTCTTTCCTCCTCATCGATTTTCTGCATTACAACAGGCTCAGAAGAACACAGGTCAAAGCCCCACTTTAGTCCTTTTAGTACAGTGACTTCAGAGGGATTCACTGAAGTGACAGTAGGTGTAGTTTTAAAAAGCCTACTCATTAAAAAAGTGAGTATTTGGAAAATGCAAAAGGTCTAGACAGACAGACAGATAGATACCTGTCCTCAATGTAGCTACAGCAAACTCCTCCGTGGCTGCTGAGGACAGGAAGGAGGTGGAGTCTGCTTTGCTGTACCACAGTCTCCAGGGACAGAATTGATTGATTGTACTTACAGAAAGGGCGGGAAGTTTGATTACTTTTTAAGGTTCAGAAATGCTGCCCGACTGTGTGCTGGGAAAGGGACCTGATGCTGTGGGGACTCCCCGGGGTGAGGGAGGAGAGTGGACAGATGTAGGTGGCAAACTGATCCCTCGAGTCCACCTGTAACGGAGAGGGCGGGAAAATATCCTCTCCGGGTAACGTGAAGCGAGACACTGAGCCTCTCCCTTTCCGCTACGAGCTGGGGTGTAAGTGACTCTTCATCTCTCCTTCCTGCTGACTTTTCAGCTAATTTCTTGATTTTACTGGAATTATTGGAGTAGATTTTGTCAGGTGGAGTGAGCATCACTGCACATGATGGGCAGCACCCATTTTGCTGCTAAGAAGCTCGTCTAAACTCAGTGGGACCAGTTAAATTCAGTTTTACGTCTGGATCGTTTCATGAACAGTCCAAGGCCACTCATGCCATCAGTCTTGCCCCACACACTCAGCAGGACGTCCTGGGGCTCCACTGGTGAAATAAACATGAATTATCAGAGTTTCCAGTTCCTTCTTCTCCTGTGTATTTGGCTCTTTTTTCTTGATGAATCTGGCTAAAGGCTTGTCAATTTTGTTTATCTTTTTAAAGAACCAACTCTTAGTTTTATTTATCTTTTCTATTGTTTTTGTTTTCTTTAGTCATTTATTTCTGCTCTGATCTTTCTTATTTATTTCCTTCTCTTTTGGGGCTTTGTTGTTCTTTAGGCAGAAGGTCGGACTGTTTAGCTCCTGGTTTTGGGATAGGCCTGTATCGCTCCTAGTTGACCTCTCAGCACTGCTTGTTTGGAGTGAGGCTGTGAGGACCGTCTCAGTCCAGCACTGGCTGGTGCGCTGGACATATCACTGATGGAACAAGGCAGGGTTCTATCGTGCAAAACACAGAGTTTATTCTTATGCTACTATTTATTAATCATTGTATTATTTTCCATACAAACAGCTGTAAACCTGCTTTGCCCTACCCTGCGTAATAATATAATCATTGTCACCACTGTTATTATAGTCTTGCTGCTTCTCGTTTTCACAGATTTGCTGGTTTCCTTCGGTTTCTTTTTCCTCTGTTCCTTCACCTTCAGTTATGCTTTTCAGCTTTGACATGGCATTAAGGCTTAGGTTTCTTTCATATTGACTCACCCAGTGGAGGTGCTGGGCTTTTTATTGTTTTTTTTAGCTATTGAGTTAACAGTTAAACACACTCCCACACAAATATGCCAAATCCTGGAATAAGCATTCTACATACCACACCTTATTTAATCCTCATAGAACTATTATCATTACTGTTCTGCAGATGTGGAAACTGAGGTTAAATAATAGGCCCAAGGTGACAAAGCTAATAAGTGATTGGGCCACGCTTCAGACCACTTCCTCCTCACACTGTGGTGTCATCTTCAGTCCTTCAGAAGCTTGAGAATCATGCTAAAACTGGAAGGTTTAGATAGAGAGTAAATGGGGTTTTTATTTAATAAGTAATATAAATGAATTTATTTGTGGAAGGCAGTTCATGAAGATCCTGAAATGCTAGGCTCTGTATTTTAAACTTCATCCTAAAAAAAAAATAGTCAAGCATTAAAATTTTTTCCGTTATATTGTCAGGTTACATTTGGAGATTACAGACCCTTTGAGACTCTGATGGAAACTATGGATTCTCTTCCCGAGAAAGAAGAGATGTGCACATTAATGTGGAGCTTATTTCTGGGACTTCAAGACACCCCATCCCCACCCCACAAAAAAGCCCATCCATGAACTCCTGGGATTAGAAAATGTTCAATTTCTATTCCATTCCTTTGATTCTATTATAAACCTTTCCCCCAAAAAGTATGATATTGAGCTAATAACAATATTTGCCTCACCCTACCTTGATGTAACAAAACTAGATAAAGAACTAAACAACTCAATGAAAACACCAGGTACAGGCGAACAGCTGAACAAAAAAAGTATTAAAATTTGTGTGTAGTTACCGCCACCTGCTGGTCACATTTAGGAAATTCTAAATCTACATTTAGCTTGACTGTTACACCAGTATGTTCTTTATTTTCTAGTAAATCAATATTCTTGTTTTTCTAGCCTCTCATTTAGATTTCTAATATGAATATTTATAACATTAGGCTGAATAAACTGGACCTGTGGAATTACTTTTTAAAAGACATCTTTGTATGTGTATCCCACAGTCAAGTTTGTGAATTGTCCCCTCCTTTCTTTCTTCCTGAATTTGGATGTCATCTCTCACCTAAACTGTTTGTGTGCTTCTGGCTTTCTTCCTGCTTCCTGTGGCTGCTCCCCATCGATACCCCACTCTGTTGTCAGATGGGTTTTTAAACACAGCTCTAACCTGACACTCCCTGGTTCAAATCCTCCATGGCTCCTCAGTGCTACAGGGTTTAATCCAGTCTTCACTTCAGACTTCAGCCCCTCCACTCGTCCCAAATATGTTATATGGGCTTTTAGATGACCGGGCTAGGCAGAAGGCTGCAAAGAACAAAGTTGTCTTTCCTGAATGGGAAAAACAATTTTTAAAAAGAACAATCACAGCCAGAATGTGGACTCTCAATCCTGATCTGGACAGAAAGTTGAGTGTGTGCGTGAGAGAGAAAGGAGGAGAGGACACCCCAGTCAGCAGCAGTGTGGTTCCAGTGACTTGGGCAGGACCCCAAGCAAAATCTGTCCATCAGGGAGAGCGGCAGGGCCAAGAATTCAGCAGGAGCTGTGGAGGGTGACAGGACCCTCCAAAGAGCCACACTTGAGGGTTAGGGTGGTGATTGCACTCACATTTCTGAACTCTAGCAGAACAGATAATATATCTTTTTAAATGAATGAATGAAATGTCACAAAAGTTGTATTTGTGATATCTATAATATACTGAGACAGTCTTCATGGTGCCAAATGAGAAAACTGAAAAATTTGTTCTGTCAGAGAGACTTAATGAAGTTATCGACTCGACAAAATTTTGATTTTCGGGCAGGCCCCATAGGTGTTCCCTATACGAGGGACAAGTCATACCACACATAGAGATGACTAAGAAAATCTGTTTGCTTCTTGTCTTTATTTTCCTGTGGTTGATTTTGCCTATGGTTTCCTTTTCAGTATTTCTATACAGAAGCTTTCAAATGAATCTCGCTACATGATTTATGAGTTCTGGGAGAATAGTAGTGTGTGGAATAGGTAAGTTACGAGCAAGCTTTTTTCAATAATTTATTCATATTTGTTTAATTTATTTTGCCAGGGAGGTGGAATATGCATGATGAATTCTAGGAGTTGTAGGAAAAGCTCGATTTCCTTTACCTCCCCTTAAAACCTGGCTCATTGGATTATTTTTCGAAATCCACTCTTTAAGAATTTATTTCATGGATTACAAACCACTTTCCTTTTGGAGAACAGATACTTTTGGTAATGATCCCACTTTAAATATTACCATTTTACTTATGTTTTCAGGTAAGAAAATTTAGAAATGGGTCATAGGTTGTCTAAGGCGTGGGGTGGGGGACTTAGGCTGCAGAAAAAGCTTACTTCCTAATTCTTCCTAAGCTCTGTGGTCATTATTTATTTTACAACAAGCAGTTTATAATGGTGAAGGTCATCACAGCCTAACTTTTTGAAATGTCTTTACTGCAAATAATGGGGAAATTTAAAACATTGTTTGGAAAAGATAAGAAATCACCTTCTCTTGGTAATCATTCTACAATGTATATGTATATCAAATCACCACATTGTACATGTCGAATATATATATTTGTCAATTATTCCTCAATAAAGTTAAACAAATCAACTTCTTAAAATTAAAATAATTGCTGATAAGTAAAAAATATATTAGAAAAATGGGATAAAAGATATGTTTGTTTTTCTAAGATTATATAAATAGTTCTAGTTGGTTTTAAGTGGCACAGAGAATATAGCTCTCCTACTAAGTTCATATTTGTGTTAAATGTGACAATGGAAATAATGGAGTACTGGGAAGTTTAGCTGATGCAGATGTCACCTAAAGGGTTTGTTTTGTGGCTTTTTAAAGGCATTTGGTGCTGTGATGCCTAATGACACCTGTAGAACCTCAGGCAGGGAGCCTTAAAGCCACTTACTCCAGCTCCATGCCTCAAGGCCTCTCTTTGAGACAGATGATTTTTCTTCTTTTTCTCTAGCAATAAAAATCTATGGTTCCTCTTTTGAGCTGTCCTATTTTTTAAACATTCTGCCAGCCAAGATTTTCTTCCATTTTAACTTCTTGCTGGAATTTAAGTCTCTCTCCTTTTGTTTTGCTTCTCTAGAGAATGCTCTCCTGTTTGTAAAAATCTTTTAAAGAAAATTTTCTGATGACAATTGTTAAATGACTCCTAAGTCTTTTCTTAGGCTAAATAACTATAAAAAGAAGTCTCTATTCAGGCACTTAATTCAAATCATCCAAAATCTTGTTGTCCTGCCTGAGTGGGAACTCTGATTTCTACTTCAGAAGATTGTAATGAAAATGCAAAGCCTTAACCTCTGCTTGTTCACACAGCCACCTTCAGATGAGTCACAGCAAGACGTTCCAAAGGAGTAACGTGGACTTCCTGGAAGCCCCAGAACTCACGTCTACGATGCTGGTCCCCGGTAATTATCTTAGGTTCACAGTGACTCCATGCCTGTGGCTCTTTGCTGTTGAGAAGCTAGAGGGGCTGGGGAAGGACATACACTCAGTGGTGCTTCTCTCATCTCCTTATGCACCTTAGACTTGAGAGTGGGGGCGAGAAATGGAACCTATATTTATTCTATTGCCTTTAGTCCCTATTTGACCCAATTTGTGTTTCTGGCTATATTAAACCTAATACTAGTCATTTGTTGGTCACTTTCAAAATTTTAAGAAACTTGAAGTACAAGTAAATTCACGGCAATTTTTATTCAAATGCTTTACCACAATATAATTTAGTGTATTAAATAAAATTAGAAATAAGTGACATATGGACTGAAGATTAGAATTAAGAATATTTTTATTATATTAACTGTTAAAATATTACTTGTAATTGGGGGAAAGGAGAACAGAAAGAGAAATTTGAAATGAATTTGTCTAAGACGTCTGGCCTAGTTAAAGTTTCAGATAACAGAACCAAACTCATTTCTTCATCTACCCATCCACTCAAGTGCTGACTAACCATGTATCTCATGAGTGTTGATAGGAGCCAGGCACTGCGGTTACTGGGGCCTCAGCCTTTGCCCAGCACTGGTTGAACTCCAATTTTGGACAAGATTGTGTTGAGAGCTAGAGGGGGTACAAAGTACAAATGCAGTCCCTGCTCATAAAATGCTTTCTGTCCAGTAGGAAATGCAAATGTCTGCAGAGAATCGAGCTCAGGACATAACTTCAGAGAGATGACTTGTTCCATGGACTAAGAGCAGTGGTTGCTTCTTTAATAGGGTTTAAGGAGGGGATGGCCCTTGAGTTGGTTGTTTAAAGATGAGATTTGGACAAACAAAATGGAGAAGGGTACTTCGGTGTGGGCAAACTGTGGACATGAACAAAGGCAAGAAGTGTTAAATGTGCTTGGCTAAATTGCTGCAAAGGTCTGGCTAAGGCAGATGGCTTGTGCTGGGACATGTGGAGAGGGGCACCAGTGGGGAAAAGCTGAAAAGGTCATCCTGAGTTTGCACTGTCTTCTTACAGTAAAATGGGATCACCAAAGTGTTCTGAGAGGGATAGTGATGTGCCCTCATCAGTAACAACCGTGGACGGCAGGACAAGGTGTGTGTATGTCCTGGGAAGGAGAGAAATTTGTCAGGTAGGGCAATGATCTAGGGCATGAAAAAGCAGCACCCAAACCAGGAGCTACCCAGAGACTTAGTTCCCTTGCAGATACGGTGTAGATACGGTTTTCATGAGTTAACCCCAGCAAGACGACGGCAGAAGCCTGGGACTGGTGAGAGAGTGTGTAGGTGAGAAAAGAATAGCTAACAAAAGCCTGGAGAAAAGCCTTTACTTAAAACGTTGGGAGTGAACACCTCCTGTATTAGGAGACTGAGCAGGGGCAGGGGAATCAGGAGCAGAGCGAGGGAATCATGGAAACCAGGAGTGTGGGTGAAACGCAGGGCTCTGTGTGTGCTCCTCGGGGCCTGCGGAACAGACAAGACTGAAGAGAATGGGACTGAGAAATGGATTTGACAAGAGGTCACTATTCAAGAGAACAGTTTTAATCAGGTGGTAGGAATGTTAAAATTAGGGTAGATTCTGATAAATTCAGGAGCAAGTGGGAAATGAAAAAGTACAATCTGGAATTAAAGCTATGTGAGGAGACAAGCTGATTCTTACAGTCTCAGCCTGAGCTCTAGTCATGTACTTACTCTAGATCTTAAGGACAGGTGCATCTGGCCTAGAGATGGTACTTGTAGAATTTCTCGCTGTATATCTGAGATTTAATCCTCAAATAAGAAAGCTATGGGTATGGCTGAAATGTCTCCTGATTCAAAATTTGACTCAAGCAGTTTAAATAGGATGCACCACAGCATCAGGACAGTTACAGGTGAGTGGGGTAGCACAGGCTTCTAAGGCTCTGACTTCAGTGAGGGCCTTGAATTTATCCAAAAGTTTTAGCTTAACTATTTATACTAGGCCTGCAGTCTGAGAACTAGAGCACAGGTAACTTGTGGGAATATCACGGCTGCACCTTTGTGCACAGAACCCAGGAAGCAAGACCCATACCTTCCTTACCTTCGCATCCCTGCCCCGCGCACTGTTAGGACAGTGTGTGGCACAGGAGACATATGTCCTCAACAAAGGAAAGGACAGGTGCTTTCATAGCATCAGACACATTGGTCTTCAGTCATAAAAATTCCCAGACAAGTCCTGACACTCGTAATTGTCTGTCATCACACCCATCTTCAGCTCTCCAGTCTCGAAACCACTGGAGCAACAGTGCAGAAGGAAAGGAAGATGCTTGTTCTCATGGCATCCCGAGTCTTTCCAGGACAGAAAACACGTGAACAAGAATGAAGTGGACCAGAAGGGTAATGAGTTAGGACAGTACCAAGGGACATTCATAGCAACCTGGTAGGGTTTCTGGCCCAACTCTACTTCATCGTATTGGGTTAACCTCTATATACTCTTGGTATTGTGAGCACATGCGTTATATTGTTCTTTTTCTCCGGAGCATTTCCTAATTTAGAAAAATCGAGTATAAAGCTGGATCATTTCTTGTTCTCAGAGCCTGAATTCCATACAACACAATGCCTTCTAATTGCTCACCCTATTTTGTATTAATTTTCATATCACATCTAATTTCAACAGTGACCACTGGAATCTGACAGGACAGAAACAAACAAACATTAGGCCTGATTTCTAACACAATTTTTTAAACCTACCTCACACAAGATTTTAACATCTATCAGGACATTTGACTCTGTTTTAAAGTGAAAATTTTATAACACGCCTCCCTGGTCAAAAACCTGGAATTAGCTTATAAATATTATTTATGGTTACCATATGACTTCTAATATTTTTAATAACTAGTTTTGTGCATTTTGTGTGTTATATAGTTCTGAAGACTAAAAATAAAAATGTTTAAAAACCTTTTTGCTGCACACATTTAAACAAAATAAAAATCTGAATGAAAAAAGCAACTATTCACTTAGAAATACATGATGAGTAGTTTTGCGCTTATAAGTTAACTCACAAATTATGATTTTTAATAAGATTGTTTTTAAAGATTTCTAAGTATTTTACCTTAGATAGAGCATAAGAAATAAAGCAACTAAACCAGCCAGCATCCAGATATAAAAATACAAACCAAAATATATTGCTATGAGCTCTGAAACATAAAACTCATTCAAATGAGGCAGCAGCCCATTAGGCATCATTAATCACCCAGACACAGAGGACGAGAATTTGTGCAGAATACCCCTCGGCAAAGCAGAAAGACCTGTGGTTGTGGAAAGGCGCACACCCAAGAAAATAGACCCTATTATCAGCAGGAGTCTTATTTAAACAGCTTTGAAAATAAATTTTAATTCTTTTCACTTGTCCATTTCCCAGAGGATTCAACAAGCCTTACTTCTTGCCACAGGCTTGTCTTTGGGATATTTATATTCATTGTTGAAAGCATGTCCAATTTTACAATTTAGATATACTAAAAAGTATCATTTAGCACACACCTACTTATATGCAGTCTTTCAAAATTGGTATATAAAAGTATATTGGTATGTGAAAGTATAGAAAATTTTACTGTACACCAAAATTGGTATATAAAAGTAGATTAAAACAATAACATGATTTTCTCTACAGGGCATTTATATCTCATTGCCAAGACAAGCTCTGTTAGACAAAACCTGTCAGTTAGAAGATGACCAGGTGCCAGAAGACGTGGTACAAACAACAGCTGCATAGGAGGAATTCAATCTTGGCTCAAAGAGTTAGGACATAGTAACTAGGAGAGGTTAGGAATTATGCAGACAAAAGTTGGGGAAAATGGCCTGGAATAATTTACACCTGGGGCTTTCTTAGCCCTGGCAGGTACTTTCATCACTTAAAAAACTGTTTTTCTATTTTCAGCATCCTGGTGGATCCTGAATAACAACTAGATGTTCCCACACGTTCTCATTATGGTCCAAGTGCAAACCATGTGTCAATCAAAATGTGAATTAGAGCCCAGCCGGCATGGCTCAGCGGTTGAGCATCTACCTATGACCCAGGAGACCGAAGTTCGATTCTGGTCGGGGCACATGCCCTGGGTGCAGGCTCTGTCCCCAGTAGGAGGCATCCCATCAATGACTCTCATCATTGATGTTTCTGTCTCTCCCTCCCTCTCCCTTCCTCTCTCTGAAATCAATAAAAACATATTTAAAAACAAAAAACAAAACCCCCCAAAAAACATGAATTAGAAACTTCTCTGTAGTTATTCATTTACTCTATACTTTTGCTATATTTACTCTAAGATGTACACTGTTGTTAAATGTCTTACCTTTGTAACTTTATCTTTCTTGTGAAATTTAGCTCAGTTTTCAAAGTTTAGGTATTTGCTGTTTGCTGTCCTGTAACCCAGACCCTCAGTCATAAAGTTTTAGTATGTGAAAAAAAGTGCACATTTTAAGGGCAAAATTGTGAAAAAGAAACTGATAAAGAAAATATTTAAAATGTGAACTTGTAGACTATTACTTCATAGAACAGACTTGTAGAGTTGTCATAAACTATAAAGGTTAAATCAGTGTTTTGTGACTTTTAAGTGATTTTCTGTGACTGAAGTGTATTCCCTTGTAATGCCTACTCCTAGCACTATTCATTTTATCTTATTTTAAAAGTTAATACACTATGTAGCCAATATGACTAGTGTCCTTATATGCAGAGAGAGATAGCAAGGACTCAGGGGCACAGAGAAAAGGTCACGTGACGACACAGAAGGCAGTAACTGCACACCCAGGAGAGAGGCCTCAGGAGAAACCAACCTGCCAGCACCCTGATCTTGGACTTCCTGTAAGAAAATGTTTCTGTTGTTTAATCTAAAAAAAAAAAGGTAACCTTTGCATAAAACCACCTTGGTTGTAACCTGCAGAATCTCCATCCATCAGATTATAAACTTTTTGCACAAGTGAACAGTGCTGTGAAAGGCACCATTTGTTAATGTGACATCATTCTATCATTTGTTAGCATAGTAATTCCCTGGATGTAAGTCAAACAAATCAAGAGAAGTGGAGAGAGTTTAAATTTGAGAAAATCTGGTTCAAATTTTATGGCATATGATCCAGAGGGCTAACTTTTCTTATGAAAAATAGACATTTGTATTTCAAAATACTTATTATTAACCCTTTATTAAAGTTATTGTGGTGACAATGGTTAATATGAACATACAGGTTTCAGGTGTAGGTTTCTATGTTACAAGATCTGTATATTGCTCTGTGTGCCCACCACCCAAAGTCATACCTTCTCCCGTCACCATATATTAAGACCCCCTTCACTCCCCACCCCCTTCCCTCCGGCAATCACCACACTGCTGTTTGTGTCCATGAGTTTCAGTTTTATATCCCACATATAAGTGAAATCATATGGTTTTTAGCTTTTTCTGACTGACTTATTTCACTCAGTGTAACATTCTCAAGATCCATCCATGCTGTTACAAATGGTAGTATTTCATCCTTTATTTTTATTTTTAATGTTTCTTTATCTTTATTGTTGTGAATATTACAGATGTCCCCTTTTTACCCCCACTGATCCCCTCCACCCCACATCCATCCCACCCCCAGGCTTTCCCCAGGCCTTCCCCATACCAATGCCTGTGTCCATGGGTTATGCTTATAAACATGTAAGTTCTTTGAGTAATCTCTCCCCACCCATACCCCCCTCCCCACCTTCCCTCTGAGATCCCTCAGTCTGTTCCATGCTTCTATGTCTCTGGATCCACTTTGTTCATCAGTTTATTTTGTTTATTATATTCCACATATAAGCGAGGTCATGTGGTACTTGTCTTTCTCTGACTGGCTTATTTCACTTAGCATAACACTTTCTAGTTCCCTCCATGCTGTGCTCGAGGCTAAAAGGTCCTTCCTCTTTATAGCTGCATAGTATTCCATGGTGTAAATGTCCCACAGCTTTTTCATCCACTCATCTGCTGCTGGGCACTCGGGCTGTTTCCAAATCTTAGCTATTGTAAATTGCGCTGCTATGAGCATAGGGGTGCATAAGTTCTTTGTGATTGGTGTTTGGGGTTCCTTAGGATATATTCCTAGAAGTGGGATCACTGGGTCAAATGNATCTTTTGAGGAAACTCCACACTGTTTTCCACAGTGGCTGCACCAGTCTGCATTCCCACCAGCAGTGCACCAGGGTTCCCTTTTCTCCACATCTTTGCTAGCACTTGTAGTTCATTGATTTGTTGATGAAGCCATTCTGACAGGTGTGAAGTGATACCTCATTGTGGTTTTAATCTGCATCTCTCTGATGATTAGCGACNNTTCATGTCTTACCTTTAAGTTTTTTATCCATTTTGAGTTTATTTTTGTGTATGGTGTACGTTGGTGGTCCATTTTCATTTTTTTTGCATGTACCTGTCCAATTTTCCCAGCACCAATTATTGAAGAGACTGTCTTTACTCCATTGTGTGCTCTTGCCTCCTTTGACAAATATTAAGTATAATGCCATGGGTCAGTTTGTGGGTTCTGTGTTCTGTTCCACTGATCGATATGTCTGTTCTTATGCCAGTACCAGGCTGTTTTGATTACAGTGGCTTTGTAGTATAACTTGATATCTGGTATTGTGATCCTTCCAACTTTGTTCTTCTTTCTCAGGATTGCCGTGACTATTCAGGGTGTTTTTTTGTTCCATGTAAATTTTTGAAGTGTTTGTTCTAGATCTGTGAAATATGTTGTTGGTATTTTAACAGGGATTGCATTGAATTTATAGATTGCTTTGGGTAATATGGACATTTTAATGTTATTTCTTCCAATCCATGAACATGGTATATTTTTCCATTTGTTTATATCTCCCTCTATTTCTTTTTTCAGTGTCCTGTAGTTTTCCAAGTAAACGTCTTTTATATCTTTGGTTAAGTTTATTCTTAGATATCTTATTTTTTTAGTTGCAATGGTAAATGGGATTGGTTTTTTAGTTTCTGTTTCTGAGAGTTCATTATTGGTGTATAAAAATGCCATCAATTTCTGGGTGTTAATTTTGTATCCTGCTACCTTGCTGAATTCATTTATTAAATCTAGCAGTTTTTTGGTGGAGTCTTTAGGGTCTTCTATGTACAATATCATATCATCTCCAAATAATGACAGTTTTGTTTCCCTTTTCAATTTGGATGCCTTTTATGTTTTCTTCTTGTCTGATCACTGTGGCCAGGACTTCCAGTAGTATGTTGAATAAGAGTCGTAAAAGTGGACAGCCCTGTCTTGTTCCTGTTCTTAAGGGAAATGGTTTTAGTTTTTGCCCATTGAGTATGATGTTGGCTGTAGGTTTGTCATATATGGCCTTTATTATGTTGAAGTATGATCCCTCTGTTCCCACTTTGCTGAGAGCTTTTATCATAAATGGGTGCTGGATTTTACCAAATGCTTTTCCCTCATCTATTGATATGATCATATGGTTTTTATCCTTCATTTTGTTGATGTGGTGTATAATGTTTATTGGTTTGCAGATAATGTACCAATCTTGNTTCAGTTTGTTTATATGATGTATCGTGTTTATTGATTTGCAAATATTGTACCAGCCTTGCATACCTGGAGTAAATTCCACTTGGTCATGGTGTATGATCTTTTTAATATATTGCTGGATCTGATTTGCTAATATTTTGTTGAGGAT